TCCAAGATACAACAGACTTCCTGTGAAAACTAAAAAACCACCGTCCCAGTAATACCCTCCTAGCCACCATGGATGCCACCAGCTTATATACCAACATCCCACACCAGGATGGCATCCAGGCCTGCCTCACGTATCTACAAGAGCAAGATTACAACTCAGAGTACAGACTTGGTCTTCCTAATTTCCAGCTATTTACTTTTTCACAGACTGCCTCTTCTCTACCTTGGAAAATTACTACAGCAGAGTCTCTTACTTACCTTTGGCTTTCCCTTCACCTCATTTCTCCCCCTCCCTTCCCTTCTCTACCTTTTGTTTTCCTACTTTCTACCTATTTACATTCTCACGGACATCCTGTCACACTTTTAGCTTCTTTCATTCCTTGGAGATCTCAGAACGGCAGAGACTTCCTAAGCCGGAAACGGTGTTTGTGCCCAAAAGCTTGCTAAGAACTTTTTTCCAACTACTCAGTTGGTCTAATAAAGATATCATAAAGATATCATATCCACCCAGAGAACCTGGCCTTCCAGCCATCAAGTCATTCGTGTCCCTACTGTACCCCTCCAGCACTTCAGCTTTTTTTTTAAGATGTTGATAACAGTACTAAGTGCAGCATTCCTGGATACATTTTACTTCCCAATATGGCATTGGTGAAAGTTCTGCCCTGTGCCTACCCACCTATTTATTTTAAAATAATCATACTATTCCTTTTTGCCCTGGCATCACAGATTCCCTCCTCTCATGTTTGCCATCTTTACAATTTACTTCTGCAAGCAAAAAGTGAAAGTTTGTGAAAAGTTTTCAGTGAAAGAAGGCTTAGGGAAGAGCCAGTTGCCTAGTTTCCCTCTCCTGCACAGAAATTGACTTACTTGCTCCTGTGGCCTCAAAAAAAATAATGGAAATAAGTTTGGCTGGAAGCAAAAGCCTTACATTTTCTTACTATGACCAAGGCATTCTGAGGACGGGGTATAGAAGATTCCACACTGCTTCGGTGCTAAATTGTTCAGTAAAGAAGGCAAACATTAAATGTAGAATAATGCAAGCAGCATATCCTTGAAAACCAACGATCCTTTTGCTGGCAGCTTTCCCTTTTTAGTGGAGATGCACAGTAATAGCTAAACAAAAACTCTGCTACAGTGTCCATTCGTTATGGAACCAATTCCATTCAGTTCATTAGCCATTTTAAAGGCAAAAGAAGTTTGCTTTGCAGCCAAAATTGGCCCTTTTTATAGCAAGCTGTTCAGCTAAGGCACAAAAGAACTTGGCTTGCAAGACCTGATTTCTAGTTGTTTCAGTAACAGCATAGTATTGGAATGCCTCTTGAGCACAGCTGAAAGCCAAGAGCACCCAAACAGTCCAGGTAGGTAAAACACAAAGATACGTAAGTGAATGGGTGGATTCTTCAGTATTGCCAACTCCACCGTGTTAAAAATCAAGAGACAAACTCTTAAAAATCAAGAGATTTGCTTGGTAAATCATGAGGTGCCGTTTTTGAAGTATAAGCCAATATAGATATAGCGACCGTTGATTTATAAATCCCATTGGTAACTTATTTAACTTCTAATAGGCCAGAGATTTATATAAAAACTATATTACTACAACTGACAACGCTTAAGAAAAAGATTAAAAATTCCTACTTGTTACGATTAGGACGACATCTGCAGGACTCTTGTGTGATTGGTAGGGCTGTGCAAAACAGCACTGTTCCGTTCCGACTTCAGTTTTGAGGTCTGGACAGAACAGCGTTTTGCATCAAATATAATTTCAAGTCAAAACAGCCTGTTTTGCTTCATCAAAACAGCCAGGCTGTTTTGACTCTGTTTCGACCATTTTGCCAGACCATGGGGCTGGGGAAAGGAACTCAGCCCCCCCAGCCAGGGGCAGGAAGTCAGCCCAGTTGGGCTGACTGCCCAGATCATGCCCGGACCAGGGAGGCAGCCCAGCAGGGGTGCCTCGCCACCCCCCACACTAGATTGCACTAGACTGCCTTCCCGCCCCCTGCCAGATCTTGCACCGGGGATGGGAAGTCAGCCCAGCTGAAAGTTGAAATGTTTCAACTTTCAAAACTCATTTTGTTTTGAGGATATTTTGACGGCCTTTGTTTCATTTTGATTTTGCTGTTTCAACCTCAAAATGAGTTGAAAGTTTAAAAAAAAAATGGCTGTCGAAATGTCACACAGCCTTAGTGTTTAGCACTTTCCAGACACAGACACAGTGCCCAGCAGGTGAGTCTGTGGAGGAGAAATGGGGGGGATGGGAGGGAGCAGTTCGAGGCCCCCATGGTGAAGAAGGGAGTGGGGCCAGGGTAGGTTGTGTGACAGAGCCATGGGTGGCTCACCCAGAGATGCGAGGGGGCACAGAGGTGTGCAGCTCCCCTGTGTGCACCCCTGGGGGAGGCATGTGCCCCCTGGATTTGTGTGTAGGGCAGAGGCAGGCTGTCCACTGCTGTCTGGGTCTCTGCACCCTGCTGCCTTTGCCTCAGGAGTTGTGTGCTGGCCACAACACACATCCCCTGCTCACCCAGCAGCAGGAGGCACATCATGGGTTCGTATGACTCCCAGGGCAAAGGCAGCAGGGCATAAAGCCCCGGCTCGCAGTGGGCAGTCTCCCTCTGCCCCATGCACGAATCTGACGGGCACATGCCCCCATGCCTTCCCCAGGAATGCGCACAGAGGTGGGGAGCTACCCCCCAGCGCCTCTGGACAAGCTGCCTGTGGCTTTGTTGCATGACCTGCCCTGGCCCCCATTCCCCTCTGTCCCCCACCACTTCCCCTCCACAGACTTACCTGCTGGGTGCTGCTCTACGCATGCTAGAAGAAAAATCCCGAGACTTGAGAGTTCTATTGTGAGATCATGAGTCAGACTTCATGTGAAAGTCAGACTGCGTGAAATCACAACTCGCAATATTTTGCGAGAGTTGGCATTTTTTATTCTTTCCCACCTTACACCAGAGAGCCAAGAGTAATTATATTAAAGAGAAAGAAAGGAGAATCAGACTCTAGAATTCCCCAGGCTAGTTACACCAGCTGCAAAGAAAGGCTTTTTAAAATTCATTTTTGCTTACCACCACTTTGAGAGAGAAGCATTTTCAGCACTGGCTCTCCTGTGTTCACACACTGGGCAAAATAGCAAGTTATTACCCTTGATTTTAGAAATGCAAGGGTTATCTCTTACAGACTGTTTCTAAAGAGATGATAGCATTGTTTCCAGCAACACCTGCAGTGTGCAGCTCAAGAAAGCACAAAGGATGCAATTAAGGCTGAAAAGAGCAATTACCGCTTTCTGGCCAATTAACATTTAGTGACCTTGTACATAATTTTTACTTATATTTTCAAGTAGTGCCACTCACTGCTTGCGAAAAATAAAAGACAGTCATTATGTTACCTATATGTTTGTAATTTGGTATATTTTCAGTCCTGCTATACTTTATCACAGTACTGGAAAGTTTACCATACTTAAAAAAAATCTTTATAGACCCAAGTGAACTTGAAATAGCAGATCACGCAGGGCATTCAGCTCTGGGGTGTGATTCTAGATATAAGATAGCTACACATACATGTATAGCATATATGGATACTCTGAATTACGCAGAACTCTCTATACAACCCATCTATAGAGCAAATCTATAGTTTCGGAATTGTGCAAATCTATAGAGCCCATCATCTGTTATTGGCATGTGGATAAATAAAGTCTGGAGCTTATAGGGAGTTGCATTTGTGCAAGAGGACTTTGTTTTGAAAAAAATCCATGCCAGAGGTTGAGAGTCTGAACACTACTCAAGTCACCAGCACTGGAGAGTTTCTTACTGTCAACAGTTCACCTAAATCTATTCATTGGGTATTGACAGACATGGTATTTCTGTTTCCTATAAAAAATGTTGAAGACAAGGGAAGGACTTCCACAGGACTTCTTTTTCAGCATTGCATAAATGAGTAATGAATTTCAGCACAAAACAAAATGACTGGATTTTTAACTGCAAAGATTAGTGAAGTCTAACACACAAAAAGACCTTACAAGTATTGGTAGTAAGTTAAAGGTTTGCATCTGAGTTTGTCTTCTCTAAAAATAATAGAGAAGAACAACAATCTACAGGCGATCAACATAGTCGGAATGCATTCTAAGGAGTCACCTCTTGTCAAGTGACTTTAACTGTGCTGCTGATCCTCTTGAAGGCTAACATAGTACTTCTTTGAGACCTGAAAGATTTTCGCTGACGTGGCTAATGTCGCAAATAGTAGAAGGTCAAGGGCAAAATCTTAAACTAAATTCACCGTCTTCTTCACTGGGTGCAGGATTTCACCTCAAGTTTCAACTTCTGTCTTTGCTGTAAAACTCCTTGGAAAACTAAAGAACTAGATCGTGACACCAAAAGGGGCAAGACCTAAATTTGGAGATGCTGTAAAACCAAGTTTACCATCGACTAAAATTGCTGTTCTTCTTAACATTTACCAAAATTCCTTATACATGCTTGGGAGGTAAAAAAAAAAAAAA